CTCTCCGCCGCAGGGAGTCTCCGGTCTGTTCCCAGCGCTCGTCCTCCCAGTCTCCTGGGCTCCTCCAGCCCTTCCCACCGCTCCCAGGCCGAGGGAATGAGAGCTAGGAAGAAGAAGGAAACTTGTGTCAATAATTGCGAAGAGAGAGAGAAACAGAAAACCCGTACTCGAGGCACACCCAGCGCAACAACCCTTCGGGGCGGCCGGCCGGACATACCTGGCGAGCGTGAGATCCCATCGAAATGGAGGTTGGCCTGAGGGCAGCCTCATTCCTTATCTCTGAGCCTCCTGCCCCCAAGTTGGAAGGCTTCTAGCCACCCTAGGTCACGCCGCTCTGGAACCCAGCGACCTGGGGTGGAGGTCCCTCTAGTGGTGGGCGACACACAAAAGCTCTGGTGCTCAGTCTGTGAACAGCTGAGGATAGGAAGCATTTCCCCTGTGCCCAGCACCAAGGTCAGGTATCATAGGCCCAAGAAAGGCTTCGGCGGTGTCTGACCACAGGAATGGATTCTCAGTCAGGGGGGATTGGGCCCTGGAGACTTGGTCCAACATCTACACCCAATGTGTGGCCTCAATCCCCTTTGGTTGTGCCCTACGTGGGCCTCAGTTCAGCTGATTAAAATCCCAGTGGGCCTCTGATGGCAGTGACACCAGGGACTCTGGCATAGTCCCCAGCTCTGGCAGGAGTCACCACAGCCCTGGCCTCCAAGGCTGGTGTGTTGACAAACTCCACGGGACACATCTTTTTTTCAAACCAAGTTTATGTTGGTCTGAAATTACCAGTGTGCCCAGAAGACTTTTACATGTGAACAGAACTTAAGCCACCCTAGCAAATATGAGACGTGTGGTCACTGCAAGAACCTGGCTAGCAGCAGACCAACGGCAAAGCCAGCAGAGGAAAGCTGGGGCCCACAAGAGTTGTGTTACAACAGGACACCCGGCAGTTCTCTTTCACTTCCTTAAAATAGCAGCAGTCTTTTGTAGATGAGACTGCCACAATTCACACGAGTTTCATGAGTGTTTCCAAATCTCCCACATGTTGTCCCCACTGCCCTTACTCCAGCCCCCAGAAAAAGCTAGCCTGTTCTTAGAACTATACAATTACTTTTTTAAATGTTATAAGTCACTGGCTCTCAAGTTTATTTGCATTTTGGAACCACTGTTGGGGGAGGGGACTTAAAAATACTAATATCTGGGTCCCATTCCAGAGGGTCTGATTTGATAGTCTATGGGTATGGCCTGGGCATTAGGACTCTCTCTTAAAAGCTCCCCAGGTGATTCTTATGTGCAGCAAAGTTTAAGAACCACTGGTGTAGGTCACGGAGATATCAATCCTCATTTAAATCCAAGAAGAGACTCCAGAGCTGAAAAGTTCACCTGAAAGAAGCCCAAGGTGTTCCCAGGCCTTCAGGCTGTCATACCCTGGCTCCCAGGAGGCAAAATGNTGAAATAAAGGTGAGGAATCCTAGTGGAGGGTAGTCTGAAAAACCCACCAAGCCCTTCACAAGAAATAGGGAGGACTTGGTGTGCTCACTGTCCCAACCCTGCAGGGATCATAAACTATGGTTAGCAAGTTGGAGAGAGGAAACCAATTACACCCACTCCAGGTTTCCACAGTGGAGCAGGCTAGGGGAGAGGGATGATGGAAATGTAACTTGAAATATAATTTGGAGTTTGCTTATTATAAAGTGTGTTACTAAGGGTCCTCCAAAGAAACAGAATCAAGTAGATGTATGTACACACACACACACACACACACACACACACACAATTTTACTGTATGAAAGTAAAAAGAAAGTCATGGGATTGCTTTTAAATTGCATCAATGAAATTAAGAAAATTAGCCCTATATATGTTTCAATCAAGCCTTAAAATAATACAACATAAGAATGGTAACAAAGTTGAGAAAGATCTCTCTCCTCTCTCTCTCTGTAGCTATTATGGATCAAAATTTAAGGAAAGAGAAATTCTATCTTATTTGGGAAAAATAATCTCATTTTCAATCTGAAAATCAGAAATAAATTACAGTCCATTCACTTGAGTCTAAGTAATGGTCAATTGCAAGC